GAATTCCAGGAGACGTTATTTTCTGATAACTCTACTGACACTCTTTTTATACAGATGACACTATGATATTATTTCAAATATAAAGTAATTAATAAGTATGTGCCTGCATAGAAACAATAACAATAGACCTATAACTTTAATTAACTGTATGCAGCCTATGTGACACTCAAAAGTGAACAGTGTTTCTCAACTTTGGCTATTTTAAGATGTGTGGATTTCAATTTCCAGAATTTCACAGCCAGCATGCTTGCTGGGGAATTTCTGGAAATTGAAGCGCACACGTCTTTAATTTGCTGAAGTTGATAAATTCTTCTCTAGAGAAATATATAATTAGTGAGGTTGTTGATTTTGCAGATAAGACACATTTCCCCCCCAAATAATTCCAAATCCTCAGACAGATTGAAAAACTGTAGGAGGTTTTTCCACCCAAACCTGCTGACAAGATAACGAAAGGATAGATGGGAGTCAACATTTGTTTCACTGTCCTACTCATCAGGGACACCTATTTCATTTGTTGATAGATCTTAAACCTAGATAGAGAAATGCTTTCACCATACACACATCTTACAGTATTAAGTAAATATATTGGCATCATCTCCTTATCAGAAATGAATGTTGGACTACTTTAAATCAGAACACTTAGCACCTCTGTGAGCATCTCACAGATATAAGAAAATATAAGAAAAATAATATTTTGTTTCTTCCACTCAGGATTAATGCTTTCATAGATGTGGGAATAATAGGCACATAGAGGAAAATTGTCATTTAATATTTTTAAATCTTTTTTTTTAAAGACCCCTGTAAGTTCCAGTGAAATAACCTTTCCCATGTTGAGGTTTTGTGCTGTGGAGGCATACATAACAAATACGTCTGTTCAGCAGTGTGAATAATTGCAAGGACACCTGCCATGGTAAATAGCTAGTAGCTACTGCTGGATATTAAAATGCTGATTAGAGATGATGTTTAGAAAGTGTGGCACATTATATTTCCCCAAAAAAGCAAGCAATAAGAAAAAAATTCTGCAGGTGCAACTGTGTCCTAGTAAAAGTGTATACTAATAACCCATTGCCCTCATAATAATAAAAAAAGTTCTCCAAAAGTCTTTAGCTTGTCATTTTAAGACATATAAGTAATATAAAACTAACCAATTCAGTTTATTCCAGAATGATATGAAATACTGGTGCCCCCCTGCTTTCACCCTCCCCAGGCTCCAGAGCCTTTCTAGGAGCCTGGGGAGGGAGAAAACAGCCTCCACACCCCTCACCCCTGGATGCCCACCGGAGGCTTCAGGAGCTTCCTGAAGCCTCCGGAGGGCAAAAAACGGACCTATGGGGAACCTGAAATTCAGGAATGGTGATTTTCAGTTTGCTCTTAGGACGTTTTTTTGCACTTTTCTCCAGAGGGTGAAAAATGGCCTCAAAAGAAGGTCAAAGTCACCTGACAGGGCAACGCCTTGCATGCCCTAATAAATGCCTCTGCGTGCCACCTGTGGCACGCGTGCCATAGGTTCGCCATCACAGGTCTATACAATATGAACCAATGTAGATGTATGTATATTAATACTTGTCAGAGTTTAATTCCATACTTTTAAATTTACTGAATGTAATGGTTTGTAGCAATTTAATTTGCTTATGTAAGCATTTTATTTTTGTTGACTTGCACTAGGACAAAACAAATTTGCGTGGTGCTAAGCACATAATCAAATCAGCAGTCTTGTTCCTCCACAAGCTCCTTCTCTATCAAACTCAAATTCAGATTCAATTCAAACTGAACAAACTTTCTAGAGATATACCCTAATACATGGAATAGGACTATACCCACTTAAAAATCATCCGGGAAAAATGCTGAGATATTGTGATCACTAGAGCTCAGTGGTAGGTTCCTACCGGTTTGGCTGAACTGGTAGTAGCTTGGTGGCCTGGGTTGCTGGAACCGGCAGTGACCAGGCCTGCCACCCCCTCTGAATTGGTTCTCCCAACGGTGCCACCATCTTGTTTTTGGTTTCTTCGCATGCACGCAATTAAAATTGCTCTGAAAATGTGTGCTCCCACATGGCACATCCCTGGACAAACCAGCAGTAGCAGCTGCCAGAACCTACCACTGCTAGAACTCTCTGTTCATGTGTATACAACATTTTGTTTAAATTTCCATACAAGCTTGAGAAAAAAAATAGTTCATTAAAACTGTAACATCTTTTAAAGGAGCTTAAAAGAAGACGTGGCTGGCTTAATAAATAGCAAAGAAATGTTATGTTTAGACAATTTCCAAACAGTTAGTTAAATAGTTTCTGAAGAGTGCAGTGCTTTAATATGTAAAGATTTCATTTAATCTCTTAGTGTTGTTTTGTGGATAAATTGTATGCAAAAGAATGGGATCTTATATGACTTCCAGACTGCCCTGGAGGGAAAAAAAACCTCAACAAAATGTAGCAAGATAAAGGAAGCACCTTTTTATTAAATTAGAAAACTGCTATACCTCTTCATGGAAACTGCATAAAACTGAATCTAAAATCTGTCATTCTTTTTTTTAATATATAATATGTTTTTATTTTTTATTTTCAAAACAAACATCCTTCTTTACATGCTGTAGAAAGTCTATCAGTTGGTTACAAAAAGATTTTCGTGCATCTCTTCCACAGTCAACAAATATAACTCCTATTAACTCAAGTATTTTAACTCAGATATTTATACATATTACCATCATCATATCTCCATTTTCATTTGACTATAATTATTTAAACGTTTTTCATCATAAAATATACCAAGATTTAATACATAACCACATACTGGCCTTTCATTTTCTATTTCTAAAATCCTCCATTGATACTGAATCCTTATGTCCTATTCTAGCTAAACATACATAATATTTAATAACAAAATTCTCTAATCCTCCTTTCCAAATCATTGTTTAAAGTTTACATCCAGTTTCCTTATTTTATACCCATATCTATATACAGTATACGTTGTTATCCTTATCCCTTCTTTATTTAACTATATCCTGTATCATAACATTTTCCCTCAATAATCAAAGCTTTAACTGTATCTAACAGTTCTTTTTTTATTAACCTTTATATATAATCCAAAAGGATTTCTAATCTTCCTTTCATGGGTACCATTCAATATTCATATCCAGTTATTACTCATCATGACGCTACACATTGTATACAATAGTAACATTATCAACTATTTATTTGACTATATCTATTGTCACTAAATTCACTAAGTTTAACTAGTTTTAAATTATACTCTTCCATCTATCAACCTGTATCTTTCCAGTAGCAAAACAGTCTCATATCTTCTGCCATTTGTGGTGTCAATCCTCTAATCATCTCCTTAATCAACTTTGTATGGACTCCTCTTAGCAACTCCTTGCTTATAAAATCTCTCATGTAATCTCGATGCCCTTCTTCTGTTTCCTTAATCAGCTTATCTTTGATTGTCAGTAGTGTTATCAATGATAACGTGAATAAAATTTCTCTCTTTAAGTCCATAAATTCTTCTTCTTCTTCTTCTTCTTCTTCTTCTTCTTCTTCTTCTTCTTCTTCTTCTTCTTCTTCT